CACATGACTTATTAGAGTTTAAAAATTATCTGACACGGATTTTCTTCTTACGGTTATTTAGTTGTGTATTGTGATTCATCTACATAAATAAATGAAACAAATTTATTGAGTTTATTTTCTTATTTGTTTTAAAATCATAATAAAAAAAATATTAGCTTAAGTGGTTCTAATTAAATTTAGGGTAAATTACATAAATATACCTGAGATTTAATGCAATTTGAGTTTGCCCCTTAAGGTTTAAAAAGTCACATGATCCTGAGTTGTGTATATGTGACATTTCATTAATTTTCATTAATGTCATTAACGCTTAATCAATAAACCATAACTTTTTCCTTAATTTTTTTTTTTCGTATTGAAACTTTTCAAAGAAAAATTAGGCTAAAAACATGAATTCCTCACAATGTTCAGCAAGTGGGGGATCAAATGTTGAAAAAGTATATTATTATGGTGTGTGTCGTCAATTGATCTTCTCCCCATTCCTCTTTCTGTCTCTGTTTTAAAAACCCAAAAATTCCCTAAAAATTTAATCGAAACCCATAGAAAAAAATCCTTGTTAATGAGTTATTGTGGCTATTATGTGGATTTGTGATTGTTTTTGTGGGTTTATTGTATATGAATAATTTAAGGTAGATTTGGATTCTAAGAGTTTTTTTTTTTTGTGGATGCTAGGTTTGTTTCTAGGTTTCTCAAATCATTTTTTGTTGTCCTTGAGTTTTCTGTGGCTACCAAATAAAAATTGATTGTTTGTTTGATGCTTGATACAATTCTTAATAGTAAAAATTTCATTCCTAAAAAGATATAAAACTTAAAATTTGCATACAAATGGATAAGTAAAAAAATTGAAAATCTCAATCAAGAATAATCAACACAACCAAAGAATACCATACATCCAATAGCAAAATCAAAATTTTGTATCTTGGTTTGAGATTACTTTTTTGGGTTTGTGAAAAACAGTTTTTCAGTGGTTTTGGATTTAGTTGTTTAGAAAGAGAATTCATTTGATTTTAGAAAAAGAATGAATTGTAGATAGAGAAGATGAATTAAAAATGAAGAAGATAAAAAATGAAAAAAATAACAATTTTGGGTAAATATACATAAAACAACATTTTAAACTTCATGGGGTAAATTCAAATCGCGTTAAACCTTAAGGTATATTTATGTAATTTACCCTTAAATTTATTATGAATTGAGAAATAGAACAAAAAAGTTACAGTTGATTTGAAAACAAAAAAATCTTACCTCATGAAGTGAATAGTATGCTTAGTAAAATAGTACTTATCATCATAAAAAACATGTTAGTTGTCATAGCAAGAATAGACTAATAAAAGAAAGATTAAATTAATAGTAAAGAAAATACATTTAGGTTATATGCTTCCTATGGCATTGAAAAATCTATATAACTAAAAACTAACAACAATGAGAGCTTTCTTGAAGTTGTTCTGGTATTTATATATTTTTTCATATTTTTTTATAATATTAATATTAAAAGTCTATGATAAATATTGATTTAAATTTAAAATTTATTTTAATTAAGATATATCTAAATCTATTATTTTAAAATTGATTGATTGTTATTAAAATTATCTTTGTTTATAACTAATATATTTAAAAATTGAAGATAATATAAGCATTATTTATAAAAAATATTAAAGATATTAAATAATATTTTTAAAAGTTTTGATAAATTTAAATAATCATGTTAAGTGCAAATAAATTAGAAAAGATAAATTATTTTAAAATTGATTTTAAATTGAGATGAGGTGATAAACAAGAGAAAAGAATTTCATTAGAATTTACATTAGTTTTTGATTAAATTTTAAAATTTTAGATAATTTGATAATTTTTAAAATATATATTTTTTATAAATAATTTAAAATTAATAAATATCTTAAGTGTCATTATAATGAAAAATTTACCATAATGAAAAATTTTAGAAATTATTTTAAATGTTGAAAAAAGAAACTGTTCACGTAAGTATTAATGTCAGCGAATACTATATGGTAATTTTGTATATTGTAATAAAATATATATATATACTATATTATAACCCGTGCGATATATGGAATAATTTTATTTATTTAATATGAATATGTGTATATATATAAATTATTTTTTTTCAAAATTATATATATACAAATTAATTTCTTTTTAAAATTATATTCAAATCTTTAAAACTCATACCATATATAAAATTTATATATATTGACTTGTCATTAAAAATAAACTTGCTAAAAACAATAAGAAAAAAAATTATGTCTTTCCTTTGGATATTTTTGTTTAAAATTATATTTAGACACTTATAAGATTATATCAAATAAAAATAAATTATGCTTTTCTTTAAAAAATAAAAATATATATTATTAAATGATAAATTAAATAATAAGAGAAATATTAACATACTTTCACTTTAATAATCTTGACTAAATTATTATGCAAAATATGAAAAATGTTAAAAAATAAGTGAAAAAAGAAAAACTAAATTGAAAAAAATATTATTTTTAATAAGAATGAAACTGTAATAACAATAAAATATATTTTGAAAAAAATTGTAGACAAAAAAAATACAAATTGCAACAGTAATAGAATATACTTTGAAAAAAAATTATTGAAAAAAAAATTGATGTATATCACATTACATTTGTAATATTAAATTTGTAAACGAATTCTTTAGTAACAATTATGATTAAATAAATAATTTTAATTAATTTTTTAAAATTTAAAATGGATAATAATAAGTAATAAAGATAATATTAAAATTTTCGCATTTATTTGAAATATAAATTTGATACTTAGAGTTCAAATGGATATAATAATTTTGATGGTCTTATTATTTAAAAATTTAAGATGAAAATTTTTTAAATTTTCAAAATCTTATATAAAATTGTTTGAATTTTTAATATTTTACGTAAATTTTTTAAAAAGATAATTTTTAAATCAAGATAAAAAAAGATTATTGAAAGATTTAGATAAATTTAATCTTTGTAATTTTAAAATATATTTGAAAGATTTTGATAATTAAATAATTTTTAAATAAAATGATTTGATAAACAACGAAAATTATTTATTAAAATATAAAATCCATATTTCATATTTTTAATTTTAAAAAATATATCTCTAAATTGATTTGATTTTCAATTATAATTTGAATAATTTTGATATTTGAATAAATTTAAAAATATAAAAATTGTAATTAAAAAAATTATCTTATTTTTTTAAAAAACTATCTTATGTTTCATTTAAGAGAGTTGTCCACGTAGATGACCATGTGACGAACTTGTTTATGTATATTGTTAATATATATATATATATATATACATATTAGATATGATATATGATATATATGATATCTTATTAAAAAGATTAAATAAAAAAACACATCGATTGTCACATTAATATTAAAAGAAATATTTTAAAAATTTTAAAAATATAAAATATAATATTTTTAAAAATTAAAATATATAAAATATTTTTAAAAATTAAAAAAGTATGAAAACTTAAAAAATTCAAAAAACTCAAAATTTTAATAAAATTTTTGAAAAATTCAAAAAATAAAAATAAAAATAAAATTTCTTAAAATTTTAAAAAAATTCACAAAAGTTGAAAAAAATGAAAATAAAAAAATTTTAAAATTTTTTGAATATTTTCAAAAATGACAAAAATTAAAATTTTTAACAAACATATAAAATTCTTAAAAAATTCATAACCATTTAAAAAAATTCAAAAAAATAAAAAATTTTCAAAAATCTGAAATATTCTTAAAAAATTATAAAAAATTAAAAAAGATTCTGAAAAATAAAAAAACTTAAAAATTTAATAATAATCTAAAAAATTTAAAATTGTATGATTCAAAACAAATTTCGTAATTTTCAAAAATTGTTTACAATTTTTTTTGAAATTTTTAGATATTTTTAAAAAAATTTAAAATTTAAAATTAATTTTTTTTTAGATTTTTGTGAATTTTTTAAATTTTAAGAAAATTTTAAGAATTTTTATTTAAATTTTAAGATTTTTTGAAAAATTTTAAATTATCATAAGTTTTTAATTTTTCTAAATATTTCAATTTTTAATTTTTAAAAATATTTAAAATACTTAAAATTTTGTTTTAAATTTTGTAAAATTTTAAAAATTTATTTGATATTGATGTGATAATAAATAATGTGACAATGATTGAATTCTTTTAACATATATTAATATTTTATTAAATATTCATAATGTATCAACAAATTAATAAATAACATTAACATCAAATATCAAAATAAACAACAAAATCAAAATCAAAATCAAAACCATAAAATTTTATTTCTTTACATACTATTCTCACAAAAATATCTATAATCCAAGCGCCATTTTTTTATTTAACCCAATTCAGACTCCAAACAAAATCAGAAACCCATACTGAAAATCGACGAACTTCATCAACCCCCTCCTTCCAAGGTTTATATTAAAAAAAAAAGCCTGAATTGAAAAAAAACAAAAAATTGCAGAAAGCACAAAACTTTATAACCATATATGAAAAAAAAGTAACCACTACACATACAGAGAGAAAGAGAGTGTTACCTGGATGAAGACATAGAAGATCAAAAGAACCGAAGCCAAGGTTTTGTTTGCACATCACATGCACAGGTAAAGAGAAGACTGAAAATGGGAGAAAATATCATGTGATTATCATGTATATATACAACGCCTGCTGCTTTTGCCACCGCCATCGCAGATACAAACTCCACTTTCCTCCCCTTTTCTTGTCAAAAATGTTTCAGAAGAGGAAAAAAAAATCAGATCCGGCAGCTTCTTTTCTTCCACAACCATTCTCTCTCCTTTTTTTTTTTATACTCTTCTTCTCTTTTTGTCATTGAGCACCTTCCCCGTTTTAGAGCTCTCTCTCCTCTCCTTTTCATCAAAACGGTGAACGTTGCTTCATCTAAACAAAAAAGAGAAGCCAATCATTGTGAGACGCGTGGCACGGAAGTATAAGAAAATGACGTTGTTTAGACACTGACAAATAAAAGCACACGGTTCTGATTCTGTCTTCCGTGGAATGTTCTTTACTTTGCCCTTTCGAACATCCTCTCCTTGTCCTCAAAGCCAATGGCCCAACTCTCTTTGGGCTCCACAGTTTCTATCTCTCGTTCTCGCCACATCCGTCCTCCAGTCACCGCCCGCCACGTCAACATCAGCACGACAACCACAAAACTAACAATGCCCAATCACCACCCATCCCTGGAGGTCATAGGCGGCGGACGTGATCGCTTCCTCCAAGCTCTCCACACCACCCTCCGCCAGCCCTACAATCCTTTCCCCCTCATCACCTGGAATCGCCACGTCGAGACCATCTTCGCCTCCTTCTTCCGCTCCGTTCCCCAAGTCAGACTACGCCGAGAGTGCCTCCAAGTCAAAGATGGCGGCTACGTCGCCCTCGACTGGGTCTCCGGCGACGACCGCCGTCTTCCTTCCGATTCTCCCATCCTAATTTTACTGGTAACATAAAATCAACCATCTTTTAGAAAATAGTGTTATAAATAAATTGTGTTAATCCAAGAAACTTTGACTTCTTTTTAGCCGGGTTTGACTGGAGGAAGCCAGGATTCATATGTAAGACATATGTTAACTAAAGCAAAATGTAAAGGGTGGCGCGTTGTGGTTTTCAATAGCCGAGGTTGTGGAGGTAGTCCAGTTACCACTCCCCAGGTAATAATAATCCTTTCCTTTGTTTTCACTTTTTGCTGTTTCATTTTTAATTTTTTTAATAAGAAAAGTTTTCGGAGATTGGATTTTTTAAAAATTGTTTTAAAGAAAGAGAATGTTGATTTGATTATTAGAATGACATTGATATATTATATATGCAGTTTTACTCAGCTTCGTTTCTAGGAGACACGCGTGAAGTAGTGAAACATGTCGGCGCTAGATACCCGGAAGCTAATTTGTATGCTGTTGGTTGGTCTCTTGGTGCAAATATTCTTGTTCGATATCTTGGTCAGGTAAGACAGCAGCATAACTGTGCATATTTGTTTCTTTTTTTTTTTTTTTTTAATTTATGATGGAACTTTTTGCTTTAGTTGGTTGGTTTTGATGTCATTAGTAGAAATGTGTTTGTTTATTTGTTACGAGAAACTTCTATTTTCTTCTTTTTACGAAGTTGTTATTGGCATTGTTCACTAATTATCTTCTTTTTTTTTTTTCTGATTTCACGTATTTGTATTTTATTGGGGCAGCTGCACTCCTCTGAAGAATTTTCATCTGTCAAGTTTATTCATTTCATTGATTTAAGAAAAGATTTTTACAACTTGAGATAGGGGAAAAGGTCTTGATGATTCTTGATTGAGCACTTCATTATAACTTTGAATGGAATCCATTTGGAAATTCCAACTTTTCAATCAGGGTAAAGTATTGTAGGGATAGATTGCAGTCAGTTTACCCTAATGTTTGGTATGTAGAGGTTGACACTAAAATATGCCTTGAGTAGTTGTTTTTAATCTGATTTTGCTGCCGGCCTGCTCTAAGTTCACTGCTTTGGAGGAAAAAAATTTTGTACTTTTTATATTTAATGTTAGATCTTTTTTTTTTGGTTCCAGTTCTGCTTCCTTTTCTCCATTTTATCACAGCAATGTGTCCATTTCATCTGTCCTTTGACTGCATTCCACTTGCAGGAATCTCATACTTGCCCCCTTTCTGGTGCTGTGTCATTGTGTAATCCTTTCAATTTGGTCATTGCTGATGAGGACTTCCACAAGGGCTTTAACAATGTTTATGATAAAGCTCTTGCTAGAGCCCTCTGTAAAATATTCCAGAAGTAATCCTCTTATAAGATGCTTTTAGTTGAGCACCACTTTTAACAACGTGGTATCCCAGTATTCAGAATTTCATTTGAATCTCTTGTGTTCTACAGGCATGCTCTCCTATTTGAAGATATGGAGGGTGAATTTAATATTCGCTTAGCTGCTAATGCCAAATCTGTCAGGGACTTCGATGAAGGATTAACACGGGGCATGCTCTTAACTATGATATTCATTTTGAAAAGAGAAGGGGGCAAGATTGGGGTTGGGAGGTAGGGTCCATAATGAAACATTATTTGCTTATAAATCTTTCTACGTTGCCTTGCAGTTTCGTTTGGTTTCAAGTCAGCGGATGAGTACTACTTTAATTCAAGCAGTTCTGATTCCATAAAACATGTTCAAAGACCGTTGCTCTGCATCCAGGTGACATATTTGTGCCAATTTTGAAAATACGTTTCCTGAATTTCTTAGTTACTATTATATTGTTCAATATCATCTTTATGATGTTGCTATCTTATATGACATACATTAAACTTTGACTCTCAGCATCAGCAGATTCTTTTACTAAAAGAAAAGAAAATTGACTCTCAGCATCAGCAGATTGTTTTACTAAAAGAAAAGAAAATTATCAAATTTTCTTAGTTTTATTTGTTTCCTGTTTAGTCCATTCCACTTTTCTGCTAATAGAGGAAGCAACATTATTGTGAGAAATCTTTTACAACATTCAATTGAAGTCCAGTGAAGGACTAATCTTTCGGGTAAACATTAGGGATTGGGGTGTTATCTTTCATTTTATTCCTAATACCTTTACTGAAATTGACTCTTCTTACAATGTGTAATCTCAAATTTTTTGCATAATCTAGAAGATTGGATGTCTTTAGTCATCTGTTCATATTCTCAAGTCCAGAGCTTGCTGTTTGAAGAAGCTATGAGAGTGAAAGCAGCTTAACTGAATTGTGAGAGCTGAATTTCATAGCTCTAGTACATGTTATTTTGATTCTTCACTTCTTGCAGTAGTCTTTGGTCCTTGTTACATGAATTTTGTGTGTAACACTTGTTTTTAAGCATTGGATTTGCATGGCTAGCTTCAATGTTCCAATATTGTATAGCTCATCTTTTAGTTAGGAGTTTCATTCTTTTGGGGTTTCGAAGGTATGTTTGAAATGGAAATTAAATTCAACTTGTGTTTAAAAATGTGCTATTGCAGGCTGCAAATGATCCAATTGCACCCTCTAGGGCAATTCCTCGAGAAGATATCAAGGTATGTTGATTGCTTTCTAATTTATTGAGCTATTGTTTTTTATTTGATTTTAAATCATTGTAAATCCTCAAAGACAACATGCAAATAGCTTTCTAACTTGATAATAAACCAAAACTGCTTCTGTGTTATTTAAGCATTCTCGTTGACTGGACTACACCTGTAGACACAAGCCTACCTTTATTATAGCATGGGTGATTCTCACCATATATGGCTGACAGAAATACTCCTATATCCATTCGAAGTCTTTTCTTCCAGCTCTCATCTACATTCTTTTATCAAACTTTCATTCTAAGATAATATAAGGCCAGGGATTTTTCCTTTGAACAAAACTCAACATAATTTATCACATCCCTTTTTACCACATCCTATTCATCAGGCATGAATCTAGTTATTCTCTTTCTCTTCAAATATTCGTTGCTATGGGACATTACACAAGTAGATTTTGAAGTATCATGATATTTTTTCTAATTTTGAGAAATAGTTACAAGGTTCTCTCATTTTTCCTGAGACTTTTAGCAGAACATCCCAAATATTTCTTGGCAATGGAATGAACATCCATAACTAAAAGAAGTTCAAGATTCTGCTGCTATTAAATTTGTTTCTAGGAACATACATATGCGCTGTGTGTCATTTTCAATGAATAATTACTAGAGGTTAGTGTGTTTGTTAATAACTAATAATTTGGCAAATGTGAGCTTCCAAAAGACTAGAAGAGATAAAATAAAAAATGAAGAGATTCGAGAAAAATTAAGGGTAGTCCAAATTGAAGAGACGATGAGAAAGGGATGTTTGCGATAGTTTGGACATGTAAAACGTAGGCTTAGCTGCGCACCGGTTAGGAGAATTGAGTCTCTAGATCTATGAGAGATCAAAACATCTAGAGGTAGACCATGAAAGATATAGATGCAAGTAATAAAAAACGATATGATAGTTAAAGAATTAGATGAAAATGTGGTTGTTGATAGAAATGAGTGGCACAAGAGGATTCAAACCACAACCTAATTTGATTTTTTATTTGGTTTTTCATACAGCCGACCTCAGAATATGGGATATAAGTCTTAGTGTGTTGTTGTTGTTGTTGTTGAGCTTCCAAAATCTCTTATGGTTCGTACTGAAATCTGTATGCGGTCAACGTAGCCAGTTAGTGATACAGAAAAATGTTGAAATGTTTTGCCCCTTCCAAGATATTGACATCTGGTAGTTGCTCTATTCTCTTCAAAATTCTAACAGTACATTTTGAGAATATCAAGTTTATAATATATCTGCTGATCAGACAATGTAAATCCGGGAGCTATGTATCATTAAATAAGAGTGAAATTCTTTCAATTCAGAATATTGTTTTGAACAGCTTTCCTCAGCTCTTTGGATCAGTGGGAATATATTTTAAATTTGACCACATGACATCAGATATGCGCAAATTAATTTAAGCTACTGTTGTTGTCATCTATCATTTTGGCTGCATGGAAAGAATGTAATCCTGTGAAAATAATGTTCTTCTTCGTTTTAAATTGCTGTATCTAATAAAAGATTATGCTTGCTCTCTCAGGAAAATCCAAACTGCATGTTGATAGTGACACCTAAAGGTGGGCATTTAGGGTGGGTTGCGGGTGCTGAGGCTCCTCTAGGAGCTTCTTGGACTGACCCTGTGGTAATGGATTTTCTCGAGCATTTGGAAAGAAATGCATCCAAAACTGCTAGATTTTCTTGTGACTCAGAAGCTGTGCAGCATAGTTCAGAAGGCTTGCATCACGTGGAAGCATAGCTGGTAAATTATTTGCAAATTCATCTGTGCTTGATCTGCCATATTATTCGGTATTACTAATTTGATTGTAACATTAAGTTCAATGTAGCATAGCCAATTCTTTATTTTCATGCTACTGTAGCTGCTGCATCACAGCTGAAAATCGAATCCCATTTTTATGATGACCTGATGATGCTTGATGCTTGATACTTGATAGGTGCAATTAATTTTTTGAGGAACTAAATAATGAAGTTTCTCAATTCGCCGGATCATCTTTTTCTGCATTTGCTTAATTTGTTGCTTTTGTCCTGATATTGCTTTTATGTGCAATGTTAACAATGTCACCGTACCATCCAGAAGAGCAGAAAATGATCTAGCAGGTTGCTATGCATCGCATCCTGGAAGAGAAGGTAGATATCAAAGTCCGGTTTCGTGATGTGCTTGATTACCCTATCGACAACCTTTTCCTGTCCAGGTTGAATATCCATAAGAAATGTGGAAATTCCCATTGCAAAAACAGAATCTTATATCCTTTTTATATAAAGGAAAATTGACCCCTCGTGGATGTTTTATCTCTTCACACCAACTGCCATTTTCATCACCAGAGCATGAATATTCATGAATTCCAAGCATAAAAAAAAGTTGATTCCTTATCTTTTTTGAAATGGAGTTGATAAAATTTCTGTTAAAATCATTATTCACTTCCAATTAGGAGATTAGACTATGACGAACTGGATTTAATAAGCTTAACTGACCTGACATTCTGACTCATCTCCATCTGATTTACTATGTATTTTTTTTTTTTTGGCTATAATAGTCAAATCGAAATTGATTTGCTAACGAATAGTCTTGGGAAGCGACTGTGTCTTGACCGGGGTGATTTTGCAAAAGTTCAAAGTTGATATTGATTACCTATAAGGGGTTCGGGTTCGTTAAATTAATTATTGACAAAAAAAATTTAGGTTTGAATTTTATCGATGATTATTTATTAAAATTATTTTAAATGTATAATAATAATTTATTTTAAATTATTAAATATGATATATTTTATTTTAATTTAAAAAATTAAATAATTTATCGATTAAAATTTTTTTTTTACAAAAAAAACAAATTGATATTGATTATTGAGTATGAAATTGGACGTTTTGGAAGTCAATTTCACACTTGTATTAGTCTAACCAAAAACGTGTCTACCAAGTTAAAAGAAGCATGGAAATTTTGACTCAAGGAATGGATGTTTGTGTATGAAACTTCCAAAGCATCTAAAAATATATGAAGAATTGTCATTAATTATTGTTCGGGGACCAGACTATTTCCAAATACCAAGGTAGGAAGGACATATAACTTTATATTTTTAATCACAAACGTGTTTTATTTCTTTTGAAAAAAAAAAAAATCAAACATGACATTTATACATTATTTATATCATTGAATAACATTGATGCTCTTTCCGGTTGGGTGATTGAGATGCTTGCCGGCTGTTGAAAGCTGGGTGGCTGATCTGGCCAGTTACAGAGAAAAAGATAGGGGTATTATAGGTTTCACGCGGGGTGCATTTCGACCCTAAATCAATAAAGTATACAAGGGAAGGAAGGGAGAGTCAAACAGAGAGAGAGAGAGAGATGGAAAGGCTTGAGGAAAGTAGAGAGTGTGAAATTGAGAATCCAATCTCTCTTTAATTCAATTTTACTTTTTATATTTTACGGATAATAATGTGACAGTTAAAGATGTTGCTGACGTGACAATCAACAGTAGGCATAACAATTTAAATATTTAAATATTATTCTAATTAAAAAATTATATCAATAAATTAAAGAGGAAAACTGTTTGAATAATATGATTGACAAGGTTTCAATGAAAAAGAAGAAAAATATTGAAATTAACTTCTACGAGCTTATCACCAGATATGATTATAGCTTTTGAAGTCCAAGGGACGGAACCATGTTTTTGTTTGTGTCCGTCTGAGCTTATATAGGAGGATGGAGATCTACGGAGACACCAACATGTCTGGCACAATGCAAAATTTATAAAACCTAAGAACAGATCATGGATGGAGGTCTGGGCCTACTCATGTCCCTTCGAAGATGATATCAATGCATGTTTTCAGTTATTAGGGTTTGGAAAAATATGAAAAAGTAAAATGTTCATAGCATTATAACCCATTATTTGATGCGTAGTTTTTTTTTTTTTGCCAATCTACTTTACTATTTATCATGACAAATGGTCTAATTTGAAGAAGTTGGTTTCCCAATTTTCCATATATTATATATGGAACTCATGAGTCTTTGATCATATTAAAAAAACATAATAACAAAATAAAATCAAGAAAATAAAAAAAGCTGAAGAAAACAGTGAGCCTATATCCAACGAAAGACACCAAGTGGCTGGGTCCCTAATCCTCCGATCTGCTGCATCTAGAGCTAGACGTTAGCCTTAGTGGCTTTATGCAATTGTCTCGTTTCTTTTGCCAATTTGCTGCAGCCCATCGACGCACACATCTCTGTATCTCTCCTACGATCCAATTATAATTTTTCCAAAATTATACTATTATTATAACTCATCTTTAAAACGTTCTCTTTCTTATATATTTCCATCTACTATCTTGACTTAGTCGTTTTTTGGCATTTGCATTGCCTAATTTAATTTAATATACTTCAAGAATTCAGGTTGGTTATACGTATAGTCGGAAAATGAGGGGGAAATTACTCACATGAATCTTTTATTACTTGAAATTGCAATTTTTATATCTCTTTTTTTTGGATATTTTATTTATCACCATCACTATTCATACACATTAGCGTGTGGAATTAGAGGGAAAACTTTAGTATCATACCTTTTTTGACCATGCAAAGCACTTGTTAGGTAGTTAATTTTATATATATCAGTTGCATTTGCAACTTTATCTTCTTTCTTTCTTTGTTTATTTACTTTGTACATTTATATATTTTAAATTAACCATGAAAATATATATCGAAGCTAATTACAATATTATTTCTTTGACAGAAATTAAGTTGCATCATGCATGATTCATGTGCCCAAAGTATGAACCAAAAAAAAAGAAAGAAATGATTCTTCTGCTCAGCATACTTCATATAATATTAATTAAGCTCTAAGCCTTTAACTGATGAGGATTTCAGTATGTGAGTCATCCATGTGAAAGCCTTATTAAGATTGTTTTATAATAGCATATATATAATTATATATATATTGTTAGAAAATTTAAGACAACAAAAATAATAAGAAAGAAAAAAATATGGTTTTGAGACGTAAAAAACATTATCTTAAAGACAACTATGCTTATAGAATATGATAAAATTTTTAAAACCCTCTAAATCAGAAGTAGTAAAATTGGTCAAGCAGAAAAATTTATTTATAACAAATAAACAGTCACCAATCAAACTAATTCAAAAAATCATGACATTTTATATAATCATGTTTTATTGTTTAAACAAACTTTATTTGAATAGTTATATTTTTCTGTTCAGACATATTTATTTGGACTATTATATTTTTCTCTGTTCAAACATGTTTATTTAAAATTAATAATATTTTGAAATAAAAAAATTATCCAAAGTGACTATCTTTAACTTTTAAAATTGTCTGACTTACTAGAAAAACTCATAACAATCCAAAATAACTTTGCCCACTCTAATATTTAACTCAATTACTTAAGTAATATAAAGAATCTCTTTTAAATCATATATAAATGATCTTTCTACTCAATGTGAGATATATCATATTTTAAATTACCAACATATATATATCACCAAATCTTATTTTTAATTGAATGGATTTATGAAGAATAAAATTCTAAAATTAAGTCATAAATGAAAAATAATTGTTATTTATGAAATAACATAATTATTTTGTGAAAAAAAATTCAATCATATATTTAAATATTTCTTTTGTTAAAAAAAAAAAAAAACCCTACAAAACCATTATAAGCAGATCTGTAAATAATTAATAATATGATATTCTAATTTGAATATACCGATTTCGAATTATATAAGAGGGATAGAATTCGTAGAATAAGACTAGTAGTTGATTCATATGGTCAGCAAGGTATTAATTTCGACTGATAAGAAAAAATATTTAGGTAACGCCACGTCAGATAATCTTTTTATATTTCCTTTAATACTCTCTCTTGCAAAATCTAAAAGTCCACCATTTTCGCTCAGTTCTTTGCTTATATATAGCTTCCTAACCCTATATCTCTTCACCTATCCGCTCTTTAATTCCTTCTCTTGCAAAGATTCCTGGGAGATTTGTTCATTCTTGATCCCGTTCCCTTCAGAATTAATTATGGCAGAATCCCAAAGTCGTAGCTTTGGTTTTGCAGGGAAGAAGAGAGCATCAGGGGCTGATGGATTTGAGGGGAATGATCTTTTCATGGCCAAGAAATCAATGTTACCAACACTAGCACCAGCATGGGAAAATGACCCTGCCGCTGCATTAGCCAGCGCGCGCCATGAATTCGGTGAGTATGGTGGCGTTAACATGTCCATTGAAGCCTCCGCCACCTTTACTGTCATGGAACCTGAGACCATGCGTCGCATGTTCGCTGGTGAACTCGGCCCTGATCGTGATTTCTTCATTTATAGTCGTCATTTCAACCCCACCGTCTTAAATCTCGGTCGTCAGATGGCAGCCATGGAAGGAACCGAAGCTGCCTATTGCACTGCTAGCGGTAAATAATTTTTATGTTTAACTTTCACCTTTCATTTTACACGCAAAAATCTAAAACATATTATTATCAAAACCAACAATTTGTGGTAATATATAATCTGATTTCGTGATGACAGGTATGTCTGCTATATCATCCGTTCTGTTGCAACTCAGTAGTAGCGACGGACACGTGGTGGCATCGAGGACTCTCTACGGCGGGACCCATGCACTTCTAACTCATTTCTTGCCCAGAGCCTGCAACATCACGACCACGTTCGTGGACATATGCGATCACGAAGCCGTAAAAAATGCCATCCTCAAAGGACGGACCAAAGTTTTGTTCTTCGAGTCCATGTCGAACCCCACACTCACCGTAGCCAACATTCCGGAGCTAAGCAGGCTAGCACACGACAAAGAAACCATGGTGGTTGTAGACAACACCTTCGCTCCCATGGTTCTTTCCCCTGCTCGGCTTGGTGCTGATGTGGTTGTCCATAGTATCTCCAAGTTCATCAGCGGTGGAGGCGATGTTATTGCAGGTTTGTTTGTCGTATGTTTCTCATTTACGGTACACGCGTCTGACATATCATCTCATTGTTTTACGTCGGAAAAAGAGCCATCAGTGACGTTTTATCCTTTGATTAATTAAGTTAAATAGTGGTATCTAGGAAATTGTTTTCAGAGTTTTGATGAAAACTGCATGCCTTCTTTAAAAAAAAAAAAGAGGAGAGAACAGAAAATACTATGAATTGAGGATTCATAATCGTAAAATAAAATGAGAAAAAATATGGTCTTCCGCATTCCAAAAGTTCGGATTCATGAAAGGCAAACGAATAGATATCTGGTATGAAAATAAAAACTCTATAAATAATGGATCGAAAAAATGTTTTAGGCTAGTGGGGGAACATGTTCTCGTGAATGATGATATAAGGAATAGTTAAACTTTTATTGGCCTAGTGTTAAAAAGAAAGCTTAACAAGACATGTAAGATAGAAGTTCGAACTTATCATCCCAATTCTCCGATCCTTTGGATAAAAAAACTTTAAAAAATAGTTAAGTTTGGTTTTCTAACTATCTTTTTTATGGCTGATAAGGATACTCTCCGGCAATTTCACTAATTTTTCAAATTTTCACTGATAATATCATCATCATGGATTTGAGGTGTGCATTCCGATCCTCCTTTGCCTCTTATGGATAAGCTTTCATGTGATGGGTTCTGTCTTTTTTATTTTTGCGATAAATTCTGTCTACAAACTTAAAATTTCAGGGCCTTAAAATTGACATTTTCTAGTTGAAAAGTAAAAGTGTCTCTTTTACAAATTCTTTTAATAATCGTTTGCCCTAATGTTATTAGTAGCTAACTTCTAGGCAAAACAAACTTGCCAAAACCATTAGTTCTTGTGAAATATAAAATCTTTTTTTTAGTACCGTTTCAGTTTCTTGTATTGGAATATAGTAACTATCATTGTCAGAATTGTAGGCAGTATTTTGTTAATCCAATAAAATGGCAACTTTCAGGTGCTGTTTGTGGTCCAGGAAGGCTGGTGAACTCCATGATGGACCTTCATCAAGGTGCTTTGATGCTCCTAGGCCCGACCATGAACGCCAAGGTTGCCTTCGAACTCTCTGAAAGGATCCCTCACTTGGGCCTACGAATGAAGGAGCACAGTCGCAGAGCCATGGATTATGCCGCTAGAATGAAGAAATTGGGATTCAGGGTGATCTACCCGGGCCTTGAGGATCACCCTCAACACGAGCTGTTGAAGTCCATGGCCAACAAGGAATATGGGTTTGGTGGTCTTCTTTGTGTTGACATGGAATCTGAAGAAAGAGCTAACGGGCTGATGGACCACTTGCAAAACTACAGTCAATTTGGGCTCATAGCGGTTAGCTTAGGTTACTATGAGACTCTGATGTCATGCTCTGGTAGTAGCACCAGTAGTGAAATGAATGATGAAGAGAAGGCACTTGCCGGTATTTTGCCAGGGCTGGTGAGGATGTCCATTGGATATATTGGGACACTGGAGCAGAAGTGGAGCCAATTAGAAAAGGCGCTATCTAGGATGCACGATTCCACCTCATTCAATGAAAACTAAAGTTCTTTCATCTCGTGTTCAATAATAAGTTTGCCGTAGTTTACGTAAAGAAGGTTTTATTTTTGGTATTTCAATTGTTAAAGGCTGGACCTTTTGCGTAATATAATGTTTTTTAGAAAAGGAAAATATAAACTTGAACTTCAACAAGTCTTCTCTAGATGCAACAACTTAGAACAAAAGTGAAGATAAAATATACCATAAGTTGCGCTTTCTTTGCCGTTGATTCTCTTTTCAATTTGACTTTGCCCATATTCAACGTTGAGCTTTATCATCTTCCTAGAATTTGTGTCCAAACGAAAGGTGGAGGAGAAGAAAAAGAATCGCTGAGTCAGCTATCCAGTGTCCAAACGTGAACCAATGGTTTTTTCTTCTGTAAACAATGTTCTTGCCGTCGGGCCCTGCAACTATGGCATGCTACAGCCCAAAGTTCACTATTTTTAAGTGAAAGTCTGAAACACAAAACTCGTTCAGGCCAGTGTTTAGAATCAACCAACTTTTGTTAAGAGTTAAAGGTAGCAGAAGTAAAGATCAACTGATCAAGCAAGTACTTATCATCATCAAAAAATCATATGAAGAGGGTCAGGACCAAGAAAACTGGGGTTCAATAAATTATTTGCCAACCAAATATATGGGCCAAATAGATGGGCTTCATTTAACAAAAATTTATATATCAGATTCCATTGCCCTGACAGTTTTTTATTGGGCTTACAACCCAAAGAAATAAAGCTAATCGAGGCTTTTCTTAGGACCAATTCCTATACCAGCATTCATCGAAGAGAAAAGGATATACGAAAATATGCTAATGATTATATTAAAATGCTTTTTAAAAACTTAGCTTAGTCGAATTCAACCGATATTAACATGACAGATTTAAATATAATAATGGAGGCTTGTCAAACGTGTTTATTTTTTGGGAAAAAAAATTCAAAAATGGCATAGATACATTAGTTATATTTTTTGATTAAATGGCAATTTTATTTATCCAAGAAGTAAGAAAGATAAACTTGCTACAAAAAAATTCATCAAGTATAATGGGTACCAGCTATTATATATGTACAGATAAAGAATTACAAAGTTCATAGTGTATAAAAAGTTTCCGAATTATAATTAAAAATTATTTAATTTTTATTTAATTTTTATTGTAATTAATCAACTCCTTCAATATTTATTTGCATCTAATTAAATTTTTATTTAGTTGAAAAAGTTGACATCGTTAGTTATTTTTGTGAAATAAGATAAACTTTTATTTGACATCAATAAAATTGATAAGAATATGTCACATGAGACATTTACATTAAGAATATTAGGATCACTTACATTAGTGTAAGTTTTGCATTTGTTTAACTTTTAGATCAAAATTAAATCCATGTCTATTTTGAATTCTTTTGTCTTAACTATTTAGATCAATGATAAAAAAAAAATAAAATTAAGTGGATCTCTTTTTATATATAAAATTTTTCGTATTCAAAATTATACTATTATATATGACTATTTAATGTTAATAGATCAAAGCGTTGAGATTAAACTGTTTTTTCTCATTTTTACTTATTTATCTTATTCATTGGATCTATTAAAATTAAGAAATAGAAAATTTTGTAAAATTAAAAAAAATTTAACACTATATAAGTTATACCTCCCTATATATATATATATACATTTACACTTGCATCATTTATCTTCTTTATTTATTTATTTTTGAATGAATTTATTTTCTTTATTTGTTTGTTTATTTCCTAAATTTAAATCATGAAATTAATTATATATTGAAGCTAATTACAATATTATTTGTTTGACAGAAATTTAAGTTGCGTCATGCATGCATGATTCATGCATGTGCCCAGCGTATGAACAAAAAAGAAATGATTTCTGGTCTCAACATACTCCATCATAATTACAATATTAGTAGTATTTCTTTATGGCTTTGACGAAAATGACAAACTCTTCTTTCCTTCCTTTAAGCCCTCGAAGGGATAAATGAACGTATGGAGGTACAAAGCTGGAACTAAGAAGAGTTTCTCTTGCATTTATGATCCAGGATCGATCTAAGACACTCAACCTTAAAAAAAAAAAAGAGGCGGTGGCCTGCTGGTTGATCAGATAAGAACACCCACTCACCGTTGTTGTCAACAAATAACAAGTGTCCATGGTTCTCATTCGTCAGGATTTTGATGAAGGAATTCATAGCCCCACTTGGATTGTGATGTGCTTACAATTTGCTCGGAAGGGGATATGATTTTTCTTCTTTTTCAATTTCTCACTCTTTTCATTTTTTAACAAGGTTTTATCAATGAAAACGTGGCATATTGCAGTTGCAGATCATGTCCGAATAAGTCAAGATCCAAACCAGAAAAGAAAAGAAAAGAAAAGAAAGGGAATTAAAATCGTACTGGCATTACATAAGTTGGAATGAAAGGATATTCCGTAGGGAATTGAAAATTCTCAAAATATATTAGTTGTTAAAATTAATTTCATTCAAATTTTGGTTAAAAACAAAAGTCAAAATAGAGACCACACAAAAACGACAAAACAACCTTGCAATTAACAAACGACACTGTTATGAAAATTAATCCTTTAAATGTATGGTTCTTTCCCCTGCTCGGCTTGGTGCTGATGTGGTTGTCCATAGTATCTCCAAGTTTATCAGCGGTGGGAGCGATGTTATTGCAGGTTGGTTTGTAGTATGTGTCTCATTTACGGTACACGCGTCAGACATTAATCTCATTTTTTTACGCTGGAAAAACAGCCATCGATGACATGTGTTTTCAGAGTTTTGGTGAAAACTGCCCACTTCCAAAGAAAAACCGAAAATACTATGAATTGAGGATTCAGAATCATAAAATAAAATGGGTAAGGAATATAGTCATGCACGTTCCAAAAGTTCGGATTCATTAAAGGCAAACGATCGAATATGATTCTGGTATGAATATAAAAACTCTAAATAATGGATAGGAAAATTGTTTTAGGGCTAGTGGGGGTGGGGGAGGGGAACTTTTCTCGTGAATGATGATGCTATTACGTACCGGTAACTTGCAAAGCAGGCAAATATTATTCAAACACAAATTCTCCTGTTTCTACTTTAATAAATAGATTAAGCCAATGTATTATATATAAAATTATGATAAGATAAAATAATATTATAAATAAAATAAAATAAAATAATTTTATTTTATATTTGATATGTGTAAAAATTATAATAAAATAATTTATTTATTGATCAAATTATTTTTTAAAAAATTTTATATAGTTTAAATTATTAATATAATTTTTAAAAATATAATAAAATATATAAATTCAATCTTATAAATTAAAAATAATTTTTTTACTTTAAAAAAATTAATTATCTTACATTAAAAAGACGATGATTTTTTTTATAATCAAATTATAGTTTTAAATATAAATTAAATATAATAAAATAATTATCATTTTATTTTATATATTATTCTGTACAGCAAATATGACCTTGATTCGTTTTCTAACTATCTTTTTTATGGCTGATAAGGATATTCTCCTGCAGCTGCAACTTCACTAATTTTTCAAATTTTCACCGATAAGGATTCCATCATTGTCAGAGAATCCTGGTAGTGTAGGCAATATTTTGTTAATTCAATAAAATGGGAATTTTCAGGTGCTGTTTATGGTCCTGCAAGCCTGGTGAACTCCATGATGGACCTTCATCAAGGTGCTCTGATGCTCCTAGGCCAGACCATGAACTCCATGGTTGCCTTTGAGCCCTCTGAAAAGGATCCCTCACTTGGGCCTTAAATGAAGGAGCACAGTGGCAGAACCATGGATTATGCCACTAGAATGAAGAAACTGGGCCTCAGGGTGATCTACCTGGGCCTTGAGGATCAACCTCAAGACGAGCTATTGAAGTCCATGGCCAACAAGGAATATGGGTTTGGTGATCTCCTTTGACATGGAATCTGAAGAAAGGGCTAACAGGCCGATGCACCACTTTCAGAACTACAGTCAATTTGGGTTCACAGCGATTAGCTCGGGTTACTATGAGACTCTGATGTCTTGCTCTTGTAGTAGTACCAGCAAGGAATTGACTGATGAAGAGAAGGCACTTACCGGTATTTCGCCAGGGCTGGTGAGGATGCCCATTGGATACATTGGGACACTGCAGAAGAAGTGGAGTCCATTAGAAAAGGCGCTCTCTATTATGCACGATTCCACCTTATTCAATAAAAACTAAAGTTCTTTCATCTCGTGTTCAATAATGGGTTGGTCGTAGTTCATGTAATGAAGGTTTCATTTGTTCTATTTCAGTTGTTAATGTAAGTCATAGAGATAATATAGATGGTTAAAAAAAAAAAAAAGAAAAGAACTATATATATGTAGAAGTGTGGATCGAATAAATTTGGAATTAATTCTGTAAATGTTCATGTAGACATTAATGCAAATTTGAAAAAACATATATGATTTGTGTTGTCATATTTTTTATTTTTTATAAAAAGGAGATTACAATATGATGATAAAAAATCATGAAAAATAAGCTATAACGACTTACTGGATGCCATTTAAATTGTCTATACATGCAAAATATCACAAAAAATAAGTTATCATGTATATTTTGTTTCTCTCTTTTTGTTTCTTTTGTATACTTTATTTATCATCATCACTGTCCGGATATACATTAGCATGTGGAATTAGAGGGAAAATTATACTATCATATCTTTTCTGACTATGCAAAACTTATATATACATATATATATATATATATATCTGTTGCACTTGCATCCTTATCTTATTTATTTGTTTGTTTATTTCCTTTGTATCTATACATATTTAAACCATAAAATTATATATTGAAGCTAATTACAATATTATTTTTTTAACAGAAATTCAGCATGATTCATTCATGTGCCCAACGTATAAACAAAGAACGAAATGATTCTTGCTCTCAACATACTCCATCATGATTACAATATTAGTAGTATTTCTTTTTGGCTTTGATGAAAATGACAAAGTCCTCCTTGAATTTGTTAGAAAAATAAGGTCCAGCCTCATGTAAGTGGTTTTAGACCAAGTAAAGGTTATGAGCCTTGATCTTTCATTTTACACAGACATATAGTTACTTAATAAAAAAGAGGTGGGGTTATTTTAAGTGGGTGTCGAAAACCAAGTAAAGAAAAAAGAAAAGTAAAAAAAAATAGAGAAAAAAGAAAGAAAGAAGAGTTGGTTGAACAGAAGTCGATCTGTGGTCCGATTGAGTTGGAACCTTGTCAGGAGGTTTATGATTCAGAGTTCTACATTCTGAACGGTGAAGATCGAGTATAAAGCTCTCTAGGAACAAATCCATGGTGTATTTATTGAGTAACTTATTTGGTTAGATTTCTCAAATTGTTTCTCTAGTTGTTGATTAGCTCTAGTTTTAGCTAGAGAAGAACTTTGTATACCTATTATTTGATAGTGAAGATTTTTCTGGTGGTTCGTGATTTTTTTCTCTACATTGGAGGGTTTTTTACGTAAATCTTGGTGTACTTTATTTTTTTTTGCGTTTTTTGATTACTGATTGTTGTCTATTATTTCTGTATTATTATGATTATTACTTCAGGTGCAACAAGTGATATCAGAATGAGGGTTATTTTGAAACATCGATACATAAGCAACCTCGGATAAAAGTAAATTATGTTTGAGATCATGAAGGGTGATACAGGTTTCTTGATAAAATTAACAACATCGAATTATTCAATTTGAAAGTCTATGATGGAGGATCATCTATACTGTAAAGATTTGTATGAGCCAGTATTGGGTGATTCAACTAAACCAACAGAATAAAAGATGAAAGCTGAAAGAAGCTAGGTAAAAAGATGCTAGCTACAATCAAAAAATAGGTTGATATAAGTGTGTTCCATCATGTAACGCAGGAGTCAGATGCTCACATTGTTTGAAAAAAATTGACAGCATTGCATGAGAGAAAAATAGGTATGAATAAAGTTATGCTTGTTAAAAAGCTTACAATTTTACAGTACAGGGATGAACGATCTGTTACAAAGCACTTGAGTGATTTTCAAGATATATTTAATCGGATGACTACTATGGTACTTAAGATGGATGATGAAATGAAGACGTTATTTCTTTTGGGTTCATTGTCAAACAGTTGAAATACTCTAGTTGTGACTGTTCTTAATTCAGCTCCTGATTATAAGGTGACATTGGAAATGGTAAAGGACAATATGCTTAATGAAGAAGCAAGATGAAAAGATGTAGACCCTGAAAATCAAGCTCTGGTCACAGAAAACAGGGATAGAAATATCGACAGAGGTCATGACTCAAAAAGTCATAGTAAGTCTAAACATAGATCCCAGTCTAGAGGTAAAGTGAAGTGTTGCTATTGTGGTAAGGCATGTTATATAAAATGAAACTGTAAAATCTTGAAGCAAGAGCGAAAAGATAAGAAAGGTAAGAGTTCAGATGATGGTAACGTTATAGCAGTGAATTCAGATAGTGATTCAGTTACTTTGATTTGTACACATGATGATTGTAATCATATTAGTGATCCCGACATTAAGTGGATAGTTGACACAGGAATAACATATCATTGTATTTCTAAGAGAGAGTTATTTACAACTTACAAAGCAAGAGACTTTAGTTGTACTAAAATAAAAAACATGAGTGTGTCGTAGATTGTTAAGATTGATGATATTGTTGTACAAACTAGTACAGGCTACATGTTAACTTTGAGGGATATCAGACACATTTCAGATATGAGAATGAACTTGCTTGCTATTAATATCTTTGATAAGGAGGGATATGAAAGTCGACAAAAGAATAGACAATGAAAGCTTTTCAAAAGATCTATAGTAGTTGCAAGAGAAAAATTATGCTGCACAATATATAAGACATGGATGTAATTGAACGGTAACCAGGTAAATGCCATTAAAAATGATGCTTCAACAAACTTATGGCACAGGAGGCTAGCACACATGAGTGAAAAAAGTTTACAGGTTTTGGCAAAGCCATCTCTTATTTCCTTGACCAAAAGTATGTCTCTCGATTCATGTAATTATTGTTTGTTTGGTAAGCATCATAGAGTTTTTTTTCGTAAAAGTTCTCAGAGAAAAAAAAGATTGAAATTAATTTATTCTGACATATGTGGTCCCATTGAGGTTAAGTCATTAGGTGGTAGCAGATATTTTATTACTTTTGTTGATGATGCTTCACGTAAGACTTGGGTGTATATGTTGAAATACAAAAGTCAGGTACTACAGTATTTTTAAAAATTTTATATCATGGTTGAAAAGATGACAAAGTTATCCTTGAAGTGTATTCGAACTGATAATAGTAGGGAATACACATCTAAATGCTTTGAAGAGTATTGTTCAAAGTATAAGATCAGGCATAAGATGATAGAACCTGGAACACCGTAGCATAATGGTATAACTGAAAGAATGAATCGTACCATTATGAAAAAAGTCAAATGTATGTTGAGGATGAAAAAATTACCAAAGCCATTCTGGGGTAAAACAGTTAACACGACTTGTTATTTACTTAACAGATCACCATCAGTTCTTTTGAGCTTTGACATTTCAGAAAGAGTGTAGACAAGAAAAGATACTTTATACTCTCACTTGAAAGTTTTTGGGTGTAAAGCATTCATGCATGTGTCGAAAGAGCAGAGATCAAAGCTTGACAGTAAAGCCACACAGTGTGTGTTTGTAGGATATGATGAAAAATTTGATTACAGGGTATAAAATCCAGTAAAGAAAAAGACAATCAAAAGTAAAGATGTAATCTTTCATGAAAAAAAAATCATAGCAGACCTTGAAAAAAATGAGAAGACTACACGAGTTACTGTTGAGTATGATATTTTAACACCGACAGAGATTCCACAGAAAGAGCCACAAATGGTGAAAATGAGCAAGAAACAGAACTTGGAAATATGAATAAGCTAGCCACAGTTGGTGATGAGCCAGATGTAATTAGTTTTGAACAAGATGAGCAATCCTCTCTACCTGAGAGTGTTGAACATGAGGAGTTACCTTTGGCATCAAGTGATATAGAATCTCAGCTTAGGAGATCTACTAAAGAGTACAAGCCATCTATCAGGTATCTAAGTTCAGATTTTATTTTAGTTACCAGTAAATGAGAGCCAGAAAGCTTTCAAGATGTACAGGCTATTTCGGATAGAGAGTACTGGTTAAAAGTAATAAAAAAATAGATGAAATCATTGCAAAAGAATGATACTTACGATCTTATTAAACTTCTAACAGGGAAGAGGCCATTAAAGAATAAATGAGTATTCAAGTTGAAAAAAGATGGTGATAAACTAGTGAGGTACAAAGCTCGATTGGTAGTAAAATGGTTTTCTCAGAAATCGGGCATCGATTTTAATGAGATTTTTACTCCAGTTGTAAAGATGAGTTCTATTCGAGTGGTACTGGGATTAATAGCTAGTTTAAATCTTGAGCTTGAGCAACTTAATATTAAAACTATATTTTTGCATGGTGATTTACATGTGGACATTTATATTAATCAGCTTGAGGGTTTTAAAGTGAAAGGGAAAGAGCACTTAGTTTACAAATTGAAAAAAAAACTTGTATGGCTTGAAACAAGCTCCGCGATAGTGGTACAAGAAGTTTGATTCTTTTATGGTGAGTCATAGCTATAAAAAATAACAGCTGATTCTTGTGTGTATGTTAAACAATTTTCTAATGGTAACTTCATTATCCTATTATTATATGTTGATGATATGTTAATTGTAGGATAAGATGCTAGTATGGTTTACAGGTTGAAAGAACAATTGTCTAAGTCTTTTGATATGAAAGATTTAGGTTCAGTAAAACAGATTCTTGGTATGAACATTATCCGAGATAAAAGAGCTAAAAAGCTATGGTTGTCATAGGAAAAGTATGTTGAACGAGTGCTTGGTAGATTTAACATGCAACATGCTAAATCAGTTAGCAGTCCAATTACCAATCATTTTTATCTAAGTAAGAAATCTTGTCCAGTGTCTAAGGAAGAGTAACTAGCTATGTCTAGTATTCCTTATTCTTCTGCGGTTGGTTCTTTAATGTATCTTATGGTTTGTACAAGGCCTGAAATTACTCATGTAATTAGTGTAGTGAGCATATTTCTTTCTAATTCGAAAAAAAGTTCATTGAAAAGTAGTGAAATTGATTTTTAGATATTTGAGAGGTACCTTAAAAATGTGCTTGACTTATAAAGTTTCACAACCAGTTTTAGAAGGGTTTACGAATGCTGATATGGCAGACGATCTTGATGGTAGAAAATCTACTTCAGGGTATTTGTTCACTTTTACAGGAAGAATTGTATCTTGGCAATCTAAGTTACAGAAGTGTGTTGCTTTATCAATTACAGAGATTGAGTATATTACAGTAATTAAAGCATGTAAAAAAATGCTTTGGATGAAACGTTTTCTTTTTGAATTGAGGTTGAATCAGAAAGAGTATGTGATATTTTGTGATAACCAGAGTACTTTAGATTTGAGTAAGAATACCATGTACCATGCTAGAACAAAGCACATTGATGTTAGATATCATTGGTTATGTTCAGTGATTGAAGAACAACGATGCTATTGAAGAAAGTTCATACTGATAAGAATATAGTAGATATGTTGACTAAGATACTTCCAAGAAAAAAGCTTGAGCTTTGCAGTAACTTGGCCGGAATGAGTTCCCTGGCCAAGGTAAGTTCCAAATGAAACTGCTATGGTGATGAATCTCCTTTTAATGGGGCTGGATGGGGAGATTGTTATGAAAATGGGGTCCAACCTCATGTAAGTGATTTTGGACCAAGTAAAGGCCATAGGCCTTGATCTTTCATTTTACATAGAGTCCTAGCTACTTAATAAAAAAGAGGTGGGGTTGTTTTAAGTGGGTGGCAAAAACCAAGTAGAGAAAGAAGAAAAGCCAAAAAAAATAGAGAGAAAAAAGAGAATGGAGAGTTGGTTGAACGAAAATCGATCCGTGGTCCGATTGAGTTGGAACATTGTCAAGAGATTTATGATTAAGAGTTCTACATTCTGAACAGTGAAGATCGGGTTTGAAGCTCTCTAGGAACAAA